ACGTGAGTAACACGATACACGATAAGCAAAATGTTAATTTAATAATTTTATACCCCTAAAAATTCTATAATATATATATATATATATTAAACTAAATTTAGAAAATTTGGAAAATAAGGTAATATATTTTAATATGTTATAGTACTATTGTTTTATTTCTTTTCACAATTATTTTGGTAAACTTCTCATAATTTGAATGATTTATAATGTTTGGTTTTTTTATACTTAGGTTATGTGGAAGAGAGTTCTAGTGTGGAAAACCATACTGAAAACACATAATCAACATAACTCGTAAAGGCAATAGATCAAGCCAAGGTTCTAATACAATTTTTCCATGATGATTGATGAGAATTGAAGGATTTTGTAAACGGAATAACATGCAAGCTTTGCGTTTCATTGACAAGGTTTTAACTTTTGGGAAAGGCTTCATAACCTTGAAAAGAAAAACTCCTTTATTTTGCATATCCTTGCGCATATGATATTTTATAGTAGACTATTAGTGTATTGGTGCTTTTTTATTAGGCAATTATTTTGGAGTGTAGATGTAGTACTTAACGACAAATGTGTTTTTATTGTTTTGAAGTAATATTTATGTGGTAATGTGGTATGTGCAATTTTAAGAAAAAAAAAATCTTAACAGGTTATAACGGGTCAGGTCATTTTACCTGTTGGGTAAAGTGACCCGACCTGTTAAGAATCCATTAAGATAACGGTAACGGGTGTGATACGACATGATCCGTTAAGATAACATGTGTTACACGAAATACAGCAAACACGACCCGTTTGCCAGGCATACAAGAATGCATTAGTCTATCAAAGAAATGGGCTTCTGGAGCAACTCCACCAGCTAGGAATTGCCTTTGCAATTAGGTTTAATTGCCCCCTTAACCCATTAAAAACTGCTCCAGCAGTTGTAAAAAGTGATGGCAATTGATGCAAAGGTAGGGTAGAGGCACCATGGCAACTACCTTACCAATTGTTGCAAGGGTAGGCACCCTTTCTTTGCACCAGGAGATGAAAATGTAACACATGCGACATAAGATTTATGCACAATTTATCGAGCTGATTCAAGGCACATCTCGGAGTGAGCAATCTATGTCGAGTAAATACAGACATCTGCATAAAGATTTGAAAGCTTGGTAAAAAGTCCTTGCAAAAGCAGAAGAAATTTATCAAAGTGGCACTAATCTAGCTGATGTAATATTATTTATTGTTCGTAAAAATGTAATTAATATGTTTTTTTAGGTACTTTTATTATTAAATCTTTATGCTGTCCCACACTTTTTTTAGCAACTACAAGCTCAAACGTGATTCAATCTTGATAACAAGTAATCATTCATAAGGCACAAATGTTGGAACATTGTGAATCAAACTCCAAAATACAAAGTTCTGCCTATTGGTCCACAGGTTCAGTTAAGTGAGACTCCATTGCACGAATGAACTACTGAAGAGTTGTCATTGGAGACACCATTACGACCCCTATTGAATCGGTCACAGAAACTGAAGAAACAATGAGGCTTATTCGTAAGAAGGCTGCTAAGAAAAAAGCTGCAAGTGGAAGTTTTTCGAATAATGATTATTCAAAAATCGTTGATGAATTGGCTCGCCAACATGCATTGAATATGGAACGAGACAGGTTAACATATAAGCTAGTCAAGGCTAGAGATGAAGCAAAGGCGGAGAAAGAGAGTTGAATCGGCAAGGCAAAAGGACAAGGTTTAGATCATGTCTTGACGCCTCGACTATAGGCCTGACAATTCCTAACACGACTCGATAATCCAACACAACATGAAATTAACAGGTGTTCGGATCGACACGATAACAAATCGGGTCGTTATCGGGTAACCCGTTAAGCACCTGTTAAGATAACGGGCTTGTTTGGGTATACACGTGGGTAACATGACACACGATAAGCAAAATATTAATTTAATAATTTATAACCCTAAAAAATACTATAATAATTATATATTAATTTAACAATTTTATACCCCTAAAAACTATAATAATTATATATATATATATATATTAAATTAAATAATTTAAAAAATTAGGTTGAAGGCTATTGTTCTCTTCTCTCTTATTCACTCTGATCTCTTCAGTCCAGACTTACTCCCGTGCTGTCTTCTTAATTCGCATCTCTCTGGCATCCTCCTCCGTTCATTGTTACCAGAAACAGTTCAAGCTTTGTTGTGCACACGAGATTGGCTATTTGGAAAATGAGGTAATATATTTTTATATGGTATAGTACTATTGTTTTATTTCTTTTCATAATTATTTTGGTAAACTTCTCATAATTTGAATGATTTTTAATGTCTGGTTTTTCTGTAATTAGTTTATGCGGAAGAGAGTTCTGATGTGGAAAACCTTACTGAAAACATCATCGACATAACTCTTGAAGGCAATAGATCAAGCCAAAATTCCAATACAATTTCCTTATGATGATCGATAAAAATTGAGGATTTTGTAGAAGAAATAACATGCAAGCTTTGAGTTCCATTGATAAGGTTTAAACTTTTGAGAAAGGCTTCACAACCTTGAAAACAAAAACTCTTTCATTTTGCATATCCTTGCACATTTAATATTTTGTAATAGACTAGTAGTGTATGAATGGTTTTTTATTAGGCTCTTATTTTCGAGTGTAGATGTAGTACTTAAACGACAAATGTGTTTTAATGTTTTGAAGTAATATTTATGTGGCAATGTGTGGTATGTGCAATTTAAGAATATTTTTTTTCTTAACAGGTCATAACGGGTGTAAAGTGACCCGACCTGTTAATGACCCGTTAAGATAACAGGTGTGACACGACACGACCCGTTAAGATAACATGTGTTATACAAAAACGACACGAACACAACAGACACGACCCGTTTGCTAGGCCTACTCGACAGTGAATCTCCTAATTCAAAACGTTTTTGGAGAAGTAAAAAAATTTGTGTCATGAGAAAAAGGTTTTCCCTAGAAGATGAGGAAGTTCCATACACTCCAAGGGAAGATGGATTGAGCCACACTGATTTTATACCCTAGTTTAAAATTAATTATGTTTGTTGTAATGCGATGACTTTTTGTTGTATTTGAAATTATTTATTGGAATTAGACTATAATTATGTTTATTGTAATGCCCACATTCATTAAAAATTAAAAATAATATATTTGTGAACAACAATCACTCTTGCCATTGCCCTTCCTCCTCCCAAACTGGTGGACTTGTATAAAGGCAATTATTGTTTAGAGTGAAAAGTATGGGCAATTTTATTGCCCTTGCCTTCCAAATTTCCAATTGCCATTACCCTCCATTATCTAGTGGAGATGCTCTAAAGGCACAAAGTAATCTTTCTAGTGATAGTCTTTTCTGGGTTCTTTAAGTTGTTTCTGATATATGGGTTCAAGGTTGTTTATTGTTTCAAGATTAGTGTTTTGGGAGTCTTAACGAAACACTCCTGGTATTGTTCGCTTTTAATGTTAAGGACAATTTTACTCTAAAAAGTCACTCCTGGTACTATTCACTTACAACACATTATTGTCATTTTGGTTAAAACTCAAAGTTTTCAAACCCTTTTCATTAGTTTGCCTTAGTGTTTTTGATATGTGTTTGTCACGACGGCTCGAACCAAATAGAAAGGGGGGCCCAACCTCGCTGCCCCGCTAAAATCGCAATGAAAGTAAGTGGATGCGATCTCTCTCCTCTATCTATGTGTTAAGGTCCCTGGAGAAGAAGGTGGTTGAGGCCCACTTTGTTTTAGTTTAGTTTTTTCTTTAATTGTTTTTTAATATTTAATATTTTTATTTGCCACGTCAAACATGTGGGCCTTGTATTTGCATGACAGTTTGATTAACGAATGTATGAAATTGCAATGAAATGATAAGTAACGTATGAGATTAAAATGTTTTAAAGATATTGTATGAGGTTGCAATTGCACCCAAACTTGAATGGTAAAATGTAATTTACCTTTTCATTTATGTTATGACTTTAATAATAAGTCTCGTTTGGTCCCTAGGATTGTATTAGAATAAGGTGGATAACCTATTAAATTCGAAATACTTTGAAGACAACGGCAAATGTATTAAGCTTCGTTTGGTCTCTAGTATTAGATTACAATAAAATTGATAACCTATTGAATTCGAAAGATTTTAAAGACAAAGGCGAATGATTTTTCATTTAGAGAGATACTAGAACGGGGTTCTTGTCCCTTCTAATCCTCACTTCTTCTACTGTCAAGTTGACACAAAATTTTCACTTTTAATTTCAATATATTTTCCAAACCATTTCAATTCAATCCTAAAGACCAAAAGAAACATAAGTGAATTACAGAGAGTACTCTTTGCTTCATATCAGCCATATCCTACTCTTTGCTTCATACCAGCCATATCCATTATTTTGAGTCATTTTCAATTTGTAAAACGCCATTATCTCCATGATATGGGATTCTTAAGACATTTCAGATTTCTTGGTAGAGAGTAGAGGGAGAGAGAGTTTTGGTCTACTAACATAGGTGACCGACAGATTCTCTCAGTGTGGAGAGAAATGGGGGAAGATTGATAATGAAGAGTGGGGCCATGTGGGGCCCCGCAATTACCTCAGTGGAGCAAATTAGAGACTTTACAAGTGGAAGCTGTAATGTCAAAGCAAAGCAACTCCAACAAATCCCTATCCTTCACCCACCTCCCCAGCGACACATTTTTCCAACTGCTAGGTATTCAAACGGTACTTCATCTTCTTGTATCTTAATGTAAGCAATATATATATATATATATATTTTTTTTTTAGTAGTATTACATTTAGGGAAGTGTTATTGGTATTTCAAAAATCTCATTTTACACTTTTCACAAGTATATTTTTCTTTTTTAATATAGAAAGTTTGAAGTATAGAATAAGATTTTTGAAATGCTGATAATAATCATCTACATTTATTTTATAACACGTGATATATCTGCTTGAATACCGGATCCTATGAAAAGTTTCTCCTCCCCAACCCAATCCAACCCATCCGAAAATAAAAGTTGGCAAATATTTCCATCATCAATTTTTCTCTTTCCATTCCCTTTGTTTTCTTCATTCCCTTTCTTCTCTCCATTCCCACCCCACCTACCATCATCACCCACCACTAAGCAACCCTCCAAAAATTCTTTTCTTTCCACTGTAACTCTCTCTCTCTCTCTCTCTCTCTCTCCCTCTCCTGCACAACCTTCCTTTTTTTGTGAAATTTCTTTGCTTGAATCTAAAGATTGATCCCTTATCTAACTCTGTATCCGTTTTTTTCTTGTGGCTTTCTTGCTTACCAAACAGAAAAAACTGTTAGAACATCCAAGTGCATCTAAATTCCTATGGAATCATTCAATCCAACAGCCGGATTCCGGTACAACCTGAATTCAAACACAATAGCCGATGAAAATAGCGTTTCCGATCAGTTTTCAGGGATTCTTGAAATCTATGCTCATCATGCTAGGAACATTCACAACATATGCATCTATGAAAACCAAGATGTGTACGCCAAATTCTCTCTTACGTACAATCCAGACGAGACGCTCACCACTAGGGTCATCAATGGAGGTGGCAAGAACCCCGAATTCAACGAAAGCTTGAGGATCAAAATTGGTCAACTGGATGCAGTCCTCAAATGCGAGATTTGGATGCTGAGCAGGGCAAGAAACTACATGGAAGACCAGCTGTTGGGATTCACTTTGGTCCCAATTTCTCAAGTGACTGGGAAGGGAAAGGTCACTCAGGATTATAGTCTCTCTTCCACTGATCTCTTCCATTCCCCTGCTGGAACTGTCAAACTAACTCTTTCTCTCCATACTTCTTTGCCTGTTAAACCCTCCACTAGTTCGTTGTCGGAATCATCCGCCAACTCTTCCATAACCTCCGAAGTTGTATTGCTTGATCGAAAAATATCTCAAGTTGCGTTAGACCCGGTTGAGTATTCGAGGATGGAATTCCCAGACATTGATGTGGCGAGTAAGAATCAACAAATGGTGACCGAGTATTTTAGTTTGGCAAGGCGTGACTGTGCTTGGAGACCTGGTCCCGAAGGTCTTGGATCGTTTCTTCATCTCGGTGCATCTCCTCAGCCTGCTGCTGATCCTGACTATGAAATGACTGTAAGTTCATGTGAGGGGATTCAGGGTGACCCTGTTTCTCCCAATGGGAGCATCCAGAACTCCGGCTTCTTAAGTTGTACCACCACTAGCTTGAGCGATGATCGAAACTCCGCTGATTCAATCGACAAGAAGAATCTTGTGGCTGGTGAATCGTCGAATTCTCTCAATGCTTCTGTCACCGCCGGAGCAGCTAATCAAGGTTCCGCTGCTTGTCCAGACACCCCAACCTCAAGAAAGGGCAGAGAAGGCAGAGACGAAAAGGAGTCTAACTTGTCAGGCAAGGAAGAGGAGAGCAACAAGGAACAGAAAGTTGGATCTGGTCAATTTGGTCAAGTATTTTCTGCTCCACTTGGGAATATAAACATGGAGGCGGAGCAATCTGCAATGCAGCAACAAATAGTGGACATGTACATGAGAAGCATGCAGCAATTCACCGAGTCTTTGGCGAAGATGAAGCTCCCGATGGATCTTGATAAAGCAGAATGTGAAGACCGCAGCGAAGTGATTCCAAACCATAGCAACAAGAGTTTAGAAGTTGATAAAAAAAAGGACGGATCGCGGGTGTTCTATGGCAGCCGTGCCTTCTTCTGATTGCTAATTCAAATGCTGCAATGTTTGACGGTATAAATTTATTTAGCAGAAGATTTGAGTTTAATTTATCCGAACTAATTTTTATAGGATGCATTACGTTTGTGGAACGTACGTCTTCCTTTTAGTCTTTGTTTAATTTGTTGCTCTTAATTTCTGATGTGAATAGTTGCTTCAGAGTTCAAATTCAGATGTACATTTATTGCTGCCTAAACTAAAACAACTATATGGTAGTGTACTTGGGCATAGCCAAATTGGTTAGAGCAACATGCTCGACTCCTGCCTTTGCACTCTAGTACGAATCATGTCTCCCCATTTTCGATTAAAAAGTCAAGTCAATGTGATTTTCATTTGTGTTGTGCAGTTTCTGCTTTGAAATGGGCATCATTTGGTTTGGTCAGGAAATTTCCTTTGGTCTTCCAAATGCTATACAAAACAAGAAAAGACTGTTTCCAAAAAAAAAAACAAGAAAAAGACTTTGGCCTAATATCATATGCCGCCTTATCCAACAACATGGGAAGCTCCTCAATTCTTGTTAGCTCCAGCAGGTCTCTTAGGTCAGGTCTTAGCGGCATCAACTTAGTTGTAGGACTCAGGCTCACTATTTATTAGGGTGGGTTCGTCCCGGTTTATCACTTAACCCGTGAACCGAACCGAATGTATACATATACAATTGGGTTCGGTTATTAAAATTAACAAGTAATTCGAAACCATCATATTTTTACTATACGCATTTACTCTCCTATTAGAATCCAAGTAGAAATCGAACAAAAAATGCTTGTCTAATAGTGATCACTTAGTACTACGGTTTGTGATATTTCTTTTCATTTGTAAGTGAGAGATCTAAGGTTCGATCCTCGTTAAAGGTGAATTTGATCTACACTATTACTAGCATATTGTGAGGCTTAGTCTACTTCTGTACCCTCATATTGTAGATAATATCATTTGTTAAAAAAAAAAAATAGTGAGTGCAAATTGCAACACATGATTAAAACCCATTTTCTAATCCTAAATGAACTGGAACAAAACCAGAACCTTTTTTCTACAAGACTTGCTGCATTTATTTGAACCACAGTCGGTTTATAAGGCCATCTCCAACTGAGAGCTGGCCAGAGGGCTCGTTTTAGCCCTCTGGCCCTCTAAGAAATTAATATTTTAATGAACAGTACATGACCATATTTGTTTCCATCTCCAACCGAAGGCCAAAGGGCCATAAGGCTCGTTTTAGCCCTGTCACAAAAAATCGTCTCCAACCGAGGGTCAAAGGGCTATAGGGCAAAACATAATTTATTATTTAAAAACTACAACTTAAATTTAATGTTATTTAATGTTGTTTCATGTTACTTAATTTAATTTAATATTGTATAATGACTTTGGAAGTTATAAGAAAAAAAATAGAATTTTAAAAAATTTTGTCAAAAAAAAAAAAAAAAAAACGGCTAGCCGTTATATTCAAAATTTTCCATGCTATTTGTGTCGGTTATAACCGATACTATTTCTTTTATTTCTGTCAGTTATAATCGACATCAAAACTGATAGCATTAAAAAAAATTCCAACGGCCCTTTGGCCCTTTCAGATTTCGTGGGGCCCACGAGATGTCTGACCTAACCCTTGGTTAGAGATGACTTAACAATCCAGATCATACTCAAGTTCTTACACTACGTGTTCTTTTTATTGTATCTAATCTAACAAGATGACTTCACCAAAAGTTTGTGCATTTTTTTTGAAAATTTGATGTGATTACTTCATGAGTTTTAATATTACAGTGCGAGTGTTTAAACTAGAAATAGGATTAAAATTGTCGGTTCATCGGATTAGGCTCATGCAATTATTATATTCTTTGTAGGTACCTAAATCCTAGAAGGGTTATACTAGAACAAACTGACGCGGGCTATGAGCCAATTTGGGATTACTGTTATTTAAAAAAAATTGCTTCTGTTGTGCTTAAAAAAAAATCATGTGTAAAATAAAGCAGATAAGAGTTTGATAAATTGTACTTTTAAGAGTGATGTGAGTATGAAAACCAATGTAAAAGCCTTTGGTAAATTTTAATGTAAAATTGATATAATTATATATAATGAAAAAAAATGGACATGGTGGTGGGGGTGGTGACAACGATAATGGTGGTGAGGGTAGTGGTGATGATGGTGGTGGGCGGGTGGTGATGGTAGCGACAATGGTAGGGATATGGTGGTAGGGTAGTGGTTTAGGTGAAGAGGTAGCAATGGTTGTAGTGGTGGCAATGGCGGTTGTGGTTGTGGTGGTAGTGGTGGTAACAACGTTGTGGTAAGGCAGTGGTTGTGTAAGCTTTGTGTCTGTAGTGGTACGTCGTGTTAGTCACTTTGTTCTACAAGGAATACAATGTAAGTAGAAGGATAAGTAATGTCATTTAAAAAAAAAAAAAAACAAAAGAAGGAATCACAAAAATTGAAATTATTTAAAGGCCCAATACCAAACAAGATGTAATTACTGTAATTTGTGTTTTTTACCTGAGTTAATTCTTTAAAAACATCATACTAATTTACATTTATTTATTTTTATCTATAAAACGAAAAGCTGTTTTACAAAACGTTACGAGTATTTGACAAATATTTATCAACTACGAACAAACCTTCAAATACTAGAGCTGATTTCATGGCATGAAAACATTGGCAGCAGCACACCAGCTGTTAATTTTAAAAGAAGAGTCATAGCACTATACTTTTCCCACACTTCGAACTAAAATGGTTACTTAATTTGTCTAATTAAGCTCTCCACCAAACAGTGTTCTTTTATACAAAGCCCTACTTTGGTACTGCTTAACTTTTTTTAAAAGCTGAGATGAAAAAAAGTTGAGTTCATATTTGTGTTTGGTAACTCAATAAGAAAGCACTTATTTCTAAAATTGCTGTGAGAAACAGCTGGAAATGGGAAGCACCTATTTGCTGCTTTCAAAAACCGGCTTTTTATCGCAGCAACGCGGATGAACAGTAACGTTTAAAGAAAGTTTTCAAATGGCGATGCTACTCCTCGCGTCTCACTTCTCTCCCTCCCGTCTTCACTTTAAGCTGCAAATCCTCCACCGCCGCAAAAATCCTAGAATCCAGAGATTGAAGGAAGCGGATCTGGCTTCTGGGTTTCACGTGAAACAGAGAGAGTTGGAAGCGTGAGCTACTTCTGAAGGTTTCCGTTTTGGGAGCTGAGAAGGTGCTTATTTTCACTCCGAGCAGCCGCCAACCTGAAACTTCCTTCCTCCCAGCGATCTCTCTCGTTCTCCAGGTCACGTTCTCCGGCTCGACGTCCTTCCTCTGGTAAGCTTCTCTTGTCTAAAATTTCGTTATTTATTTGTTTGGATTGTTAAATTTAGGGATAGCAGAGTGAAAAAATAAATTGGGGAAAAATTAGGGTTTTGTGGAGGAAAGAAGAAAAATTGAGAGAGAAGTAAGAAAAATTGATTACTTCTCTGCCTGCAACGAAGCTTGTCGTTCAAGCCGCTCGAACCGAGTCTATTAGCATGGTTTTCTTCGCTTGTTTTGAAACTGAAAGCATCTTCAAATGGATTTGTTGGATGTTATAATTATGAATTTTGGTATAACCCAGAAACAATTCACCTTTTGCTTCAAACGAGCACACAAGTCCTGTATGTATCTTGCTTAGCAGCTTGATCCTGCCTAGAAATTGTATGCTCTTGAAAAGTTGAAATAGGAACCGTTGCTCGATATATTTTGTATCTGCAATTCAGTATCTTTTTGAATGAGGAGTCAGCTAATTGCTATAGCAGAAAGATCCAGTTTTTTCTGACTTCTAAATTTTAGAATTTTCTGATTGTATTTATCGCAAATTATTGAGTCAGAACTGTTCCGTGAAGTTTAAACAAGCCTATGCAATTCCTTTCTCGAGTCCCGAATCTTCGAATACTGAACTGCTGTCGTAAATCATAATTTCTGCTGCCCTTTAGCTGGTTGAAGTTTTGAACACCATCTACTTCCGTATTTTGTAATTATGTTTCTTTGGTTAAGCAAAAGAATTGTCTGGTATAAGAGTGTCTGGTATATGTTGGAAGTATATGCAAGAAATGATGAATGTATTTATTGCACAGTTTAAAATTAATGATACTGTAAGTGATTATATAGCAATTTTGGTGAATTAGTTGATTTTATTAGCAATCTCAGTATAAACTCTGCCTAATTATAGCTTAGCATATGAACTTTATGTCAATCTTCTTTATAAGCGTCAAATGCTAGCCCGGGATTTAGAGCTTTTGTAGGGTTGACATGTCCATATCCATAAGCAAATTCACTGTGTATACTACAATCGGACTTCTAACGGTATGATTTCCATCAGACCAAACAAGGGCAGCAGACACTCGTGATTCGAATTGCAAACTGCTCCCAACAACGGTGACATCAAGGGTCTGCTACTCATTCAGGGACTTGAAGGAAAGAACTTCCAGCGCCACTTTGATATCTACTTTGGCATTTGGTGAGATTCTGGCATTGTAAGATGAGTTTAGGATAGATAAAGGGGTCTCTCTGGGGTTCCGAGCTCCCAGTTTTGAGGCACCACATATATACTCGGTTCTTTTTAAAATTTTGTTTTGAATTATGTTCAAGATTTGTTCTTTATTTTGATTGTTTGATGATGATGTTGAGGATTTGGAGGATGGTGTAATTATATGCGTTGTAGCGAGAGCTGTTGAAACATATTATTTAAAATATGTCCACAAAACTCCGTGTATGAATTCTTCCCATACAAGTAATATTTGGTTGATGGAAATACTACAAGGAAATAATGTGTGATGCTATAGAATGTTTAGAATGAACAAAGATGTCTTTTATAGATTATCCAATGACTTGCAAACTAATTATGGATTGAAAGGTTCAAGGAGAATGAATGCAACTGAAATATTAGGAATGTTCTTGTATATGTTGGGACATGGTGTGAAAAAATAAATTAGCGCAAGAGAGATTTCAACATTCTGGTGAGATTGTTAGTAGATATTTTGGCTATATGTTAGATATCATATGATGGCAATAGATATTATCAAACCCATGGATTCGGAGGTATTCTAAACGTGATCGTCATTTTGATGACCCCAGAGACTTTTGTGAAGAGAGTGATAGTAATGATGATGATGATGAAGAATATTAAAATTATCAAGTTGAAGGATCACATTAGATAAAAGTATTAAGAAATAGAATAGCGGCAAGTTTGATGAATGCATCTAATTATACTACTTTCAAGTACATTAACAATATTGTACTAATGAATCCTAGCTATACAGTGTAAAATATTTCAATTGAAGTAATTTGTCATACTAATTAATATTTAAGATAAAGTTTATAAATATTTTTCTTTTAAAAATAAAATATATTTAGTAATTCACCTTTATTTGTTAAAAAAATTAAATTAATGGCACATCCAGTATTATACCCTTTTTGGCTATTTTTCACAGTCACAGCTGTTTTACATAAAAGTTTACCAAACACTATAATACTGCTTTTTTTTTTTTTTTTTTTTTTTTTTTTTCCAAAAGCACTTTCACAAAAAAGTTTACCAAACACTCTGCTGCTTTATTTCACAGCTGCTTATTCTCACAGCACAGCAGAAGCAATTTTTTTTTTTTAAAAGCATAGCAATACCAAACCAGAAGTCACGAATTCAAGGCCAACCAATTGGAAACCGTTGTTTGCACTCCCAAGAATACAATACAAGCACCAACCTTACAAATATTAAATTAGAATGAGTTTTTTTTTTTTTATCACAAATGGTCATTGAGATTGATTAAACTCATCATTTTGATCTCTTACTTTCAAAGTCAATCAATGTCGTCCTTGATACTCACTACCGCACATCAATTTGGTCTTTCCATTTAGATTTCGTCAACTATTCTGTTAGTTTGTATATGGAATCCACAAACCCAATAATATGGTGACACGTGGATTACACAAAATAAGGGTTTTTATCGCAAGTGGTCCTTGAGTTTCAAATATTGATAAATTTGGTCCTTGACTTTTACTACTGCACATAAATTTAGTCACTCCGTTAAAGTTTTGTCAATATGTTTTGCTAGTGTTTTGATGTGATCCCACTAATCCAATCATATGACATCATGTGGATTAACTATAGGAAACTATTTTTTTTAAGATTTAAAACTAAAAGTAAAATAATGAACTAAAAACCAAAACTAAAAGACAAATAAAAGACATCATCCTCTTCATTTGGGTATGCTCAAAAAGAAAAGGAAGGCACCATGACACCTAAAGCACTTGGCCTCCTTGAACTCATTTCTCATTCTCTCTAGTTGGTTATAATCTTATCAAATTCGAATTACATTTGGATTCAATTTTATCGAATTTAGATTGAATTTTTTTCCAAATGGGATTGTGGGAGCAAGAGAAATGCCAGCGCGGAATACTCATAAGTTGGTTTACTCTTAAAAAACTAGTTTCTTATAGTTAATCCACGTTGCGCCATATGATTGGATTAGAGGGACTATATCATCACAATAACAAAAAATATTGACGAAACTGTAAGGAAAGGACTAAATATATGTGCAGTAGTGAAAGACAAGGATCAAATTTATCAAATTTTGAAACTCAGGGACCAAAATGAAGAGTTGGATCAATGTCAGGTACTATTTGCGATAAAAACCCTTATTTTGTGCAATCTACGTGTCTCAATTTTATTGGGTTTGTGGGTCCCACATACAAACTAACATAATAGTTGACAAAACCTAAATGGAATGACCAAATTGATGCGTGGTAGTGAATGTTAGGGACGACATTGATTGATTTTGAAAGTGAGAGACCAAAATGATGAGTTTGATCAATCTCAAAGACCATACGTGATAAAAACCCAATTAGAATATACAAAATGAGATACTTTGGAGAAAGACAGCCATACTACAAATAAAGATGAAGAGGAATCGAAATGCAAAGAACCTTTTTTTTAAAGCCCCCCAATTTCATAAGGCTTTGAGAGGAATTAGTTGGGTTACAAATATGATTTAGATTCATCTAAACTACGCGAATGGGGAGGAGCTTGAATCTGAAACGAAATAGGCTAAAGAGGAAGGTAATATCTATAAGGACAATCCACTACTTGCTCCTAATAGGTGTTTGTAAAAGTTCCGTAGAAGAGATTTTCATTGTTTATAATGTCTAAAACGGAAATCGATACTTGTATTGAAACAAAAAATTTATTTTCTCTTCTCATGAGGGTCTACGTATTGGCCTAAATTTGAAGAGGTTGGGTTTTCGATTGCTTTATGACTTCAATCTTGCTCTTCTTGCTGAGCAAGGGTGGCATTTGTTGCACAATCTTGCTTTTCTCTATGACTGCCGTAATTAAATTAATATTTATAGGAGATGACGTAACAGTGAAATTAGGAAATCATTATAAATCTTACGGGATGCCTTAATTAAGTTTATTGCTATGAATAATATTATGTTGACTAGAATGATCGAATCACTGTGACAGGATTTATGTTATCTGCTTATCGTTTGCTGCACTGGTGTTAGTACTTGCACGGGCCAGGGCCAGTTTTTCACGTGTATGTGCACATCGCACCGTACACTCACTTTGGATCCATTGTAAGTGCCAGTCCTGGCTTAGATTGCTATAGGCAATTATGGCTTGTATATGCTGAAAATAGCGTCAATCTTCACGTGATTGTAGTACTAGAGCATATATGATTGTTACACCTAGTCCTGTTCATGTCAGAATACCTCTGCATGAACTCGTGTGTCAACATGTGTTGATGAGCACTTGACATGATATGGTTGCTTATGCGAGATTATGTTGATTACGGACGTCATGCGTTTACTTACGAAATATTGTGCCGTATTGAATCTTGAGATATTGCAGCCTATAGTAAGTATTTCTTACTTTACGTAGTATGTATGTTTTGAAAACTGTACTTGTTTTACAGCTGGGGGTTATTATGTTTTTGAAAAGGTTTTTACAAAGCTTTGTTTTTAGGCCCACTCACCCTTGTTTTTTGCCTTTCCAGGTTTTAGTGCTGAGCTTCCGTGTCGACGAGAATTATTGGCAAATCTTGGTATTATAGATTACCCTTGATGGTATAATTCTCATCCTACTTTACTGTACTTTACTTATACTTTAACATCACGTGTGAAATGAGTTCATTCTCACTCACTAGCCACTCTTATACTTAGACACTTTTAGGTTTAAATTTATTCACATTTTCCACATCACTACACTTTATGGTTTCGTCACCGCCAAGGTATCGGCCAACACAACTCAATTAGGAGTCCAGGTGGACATTCTGGGTCGGGGTGTGTTAGTTTGGTATCAGAGCATAAGTTTGGGCAGTATTGTGTTCATCTCACGCGTGATGTAAGCATTCTTGGTTCCTGAGCATAATTCTTGAATATTGCCACCGCTGACACGTCCCGACCCCGATATTCTCTAAATACCCGAATAGGTACGTGCTGGCTAACACCTGAGGGTGACGAAAGCCATTTATTGATTACAAGAGTAATGATTAGGAGGAACATAAGCATGAATATTCATTAGAATCCAAGAGTAATAAACAAAGTTTAAGGAAGTGTCTAGAGTGCACAGAACACAATCTAAAACAAGATCACAAAAAGGAAGGATCATTACAAGATATCACACAAGTGAGTGATAGATTGCTACTGGTAGGGGAATGCCTCGTATATTGTGTCGTAGTCCTCGTTTCAAAGACCTGAATGCGCAAAACAAAGGTGAGTGAACCAAGTTCATATATATACAACAATAATAAAACAGTTATTAAGATACTAACCCCCACAGTTTATATATAAAGAAAACTACTAGCATAATAAGTTATGGATTTAATAAAAATCCTAGCATGCCAAAAATATCTCAAAAGTCATATCGTGAAACACAAAATATCAAATGTCTCATAAATCGTCTTTTAGAATAATGTACTGCTAGTAAGATCACTGAATAAATATATATTTCCCGGCCCTATGCTAGCACTGTGGTCTCTGTGCCCATAGCCAGAGATTACCAACTTTCGGCCCAATGCCTGCTCCGTGTCCCTCAGCCCGTAGCTAGGGATTATTTCACCTGGCCTATCTGCCAACACCAGATCCTCGCCCTAGGCGGCATAGTGTCCACTAGGTACTCACAAATAGTTACGTCTTTCTTAAATAACCACTTCACAGTATAAAGTCATCCATCGTCTATACTATAAAGAGCGGTTTCTAAAACATGTTCTACCATCCTATCGTCATCCATTAGATAGTCTACCAGTTCATGTTTTTTTTATTTTTTTATTTGTTTTTTATTTTATATATATATTTTCTAGAAAATACGATATTTTAAAATATAGCTCAATATAGGCCAACAATTAATTCCTCACAAAAAACGAGACGATAAATAACATATTTCATAAATCTGCTTAACATAAATTCAGTTAATAATTCGTAAGGCTTGCTATTCATTTATGCAATTAAACCATAAATTCATATAATTTTAGAAGGGGTCCACTCACAGATACTCCTTAGCAGTAGAGTTGTGCGGATAAGGATTACGAATTCCCTCACTAGCAACTTCACCTAAGCACAAAAAAATGAAATAAATAACAAAAGGATTTTCTAAAGGATTTGGACATGAACTAAATTAAATAAAGGATTTGGGTTGAATGGGTTAAGGTCTAATGGGTTTTAGGATCCTAAGGTTTTTGGGTTAAAAGGGTTTAGGGTGAAGAAGGATGGTTTGGGCTTAACCCAAATCACACTTACACACACACGCACCAGCCCACATAAACACACGTGC